GCGGACAGCGCCTCTCCCCGCCGAGCTGGGCTCTGCGGCCGGTCAGGTGCGGGCCAGCCGCCGCCGCGGAGTTGGTCGTGGTGCCAGTGACCTTGGGGAAGTCGCTTCCCCGCCCGTCTTCGGCAGGCTGCTCGAGAGATGCTTTTGATCTGGGTAAGGGACGATGTGGGCTGGTTCACGTGGTGCCTGCTGACTCTCCTGGCGGCGCGCTCGGCCGCGGGAAGCGGAGCGAGGGGAAGGGAATCTGGGCGGGAGTTATTCTGGACTCGTGGCATGCCCGCCTCAACCTTCCCGGCCAGCCAATCCTTGTCCCACCTGGGGACTTGCGGCGGCGTCGTGGGGGGACTGCAGTCCCCGCAGCCGAGGCGTGATTGCAGGGTTCGAGTGGACTTGGCCCAGGGGGCCGAGCAGTTGGCAGCGCCCAGCCGCTGCTGACCGGGGCTCTTTGTCATTCAACCTGTGGTTGCGGAACGTCCGCGGCGCCCTCGGGCTTCTGGACTTTGAGGCGAGGCGGCCTCGCCGGGAGGCGCCTGCCGGATAGCGTACCCTTGGGCAGAGGCACGCCGTTTGTACCCAGTGCACCCGTCCCCCCCCCCCACGTGCAATGTTAACGTTTCATTTCTTTGCCATAACTTACTTGGTGCGACCCACACGCACTTAACCAGGTTGTAATTCATCTCCCCCGAGAAACAAACGGATTCTGTCTTCAGCCAAACGTGTATTTGGAAGCGGGGTGTCCGCTGATAACAGTAATATGTTTACCCGTAACTGGTTGTGAACTGTCCCCCCATCCCAAATTATTCTGGTTTTGAAATGTGTACTTGTCAGTAGCCTGATTAAACAAATGTGGGGTTAGAAACTTCTGGAATGTCGTGCTAGGGTGACTCTGAGTGTGGGAGGGTTTGGGGACTAGGGAGGAATTAGCCACTGCTGAACAGTTTTGATGTCGGCTGACCCTCCGGTGAGGCAGAGCAAACACTGCGTCTTAAGCTTTTTATTTAGACATTAAATAGGACCCATAAGCCCAAGGTTGGCACCCCGCACTACAACTTTGCCTTCAAATTGTCATAGAAATGATGAAGAATTCAAGCTAGGCCGTGAGACAGGTAGAATTAAAAAGTTGAACATACTTCAGTAATTCAGGGGTTAGACATATGCTGTTCTTCCCCAGGATTGCAGTGACCCTTTTTAAGTATGCAAGTTAATGATCTGGGGAGCATTTTATAGCCGAACAGGTTTAAAAGTTTAGTTGTAAGCTTAATATAATAAGCTGTAACATACCTGAGCGATGAAAGAGGAAAAAAAGACCATGCCATCACTGGAGGAAGCCAACTGATTAGTGTTTCAATCTTCTGACTTTTGGCCTTCTGTATATATAGATGAATATAATAACTCTGGAGGAGGTTTTAATGACATGCTAGTGAGAGCCCCTTATTTTAAAAGATTAGGAAACTGAGACTGGGAAATTAAGTGACATAGAATCTTAGGTCTGGAAATTTGTTAGTGGTTGACTGAGAATTATGTTTGTCTTGACTCCCATTTAATCAAATTGGCACTCCTATATATTTAAATGTAAATAAAATTGTAAAAATGGATAGAAATGACCTTAAATTGAAAGTAGATGTTTTGAATAATGGCCTTCCCCAACTTCTTAAGTTTCTCATTCCCATTTTGTCATTACTCCACTTTATAATATATATCCCTATGTAGGTTTAGATCCTGTAAATGACTACATAACCAGGTGAGGTGTTACATGTGAGTACTAGGAAAATGGAACTTGGATATGAGAAATGCAGTCTGGAAAGTTGATTTTTTTTTTTAAAGACAAGAACTGGGGTATAGGCCAGAGGTGTTGGGGGGGTGGTGAGAGGATTCACCAGAGACAGTGGGGAACAGAACATGCAGATCAACTGAAATATAATGCAGAGGGGAGCAGCAGGCAAGACAGGAGAGGTCTGCTGAACCATGTGGGTCAGCTCCCCTGCTGGGGATCGAATCATACTGAAGCCTCTGTGGCTTGCTTGCACTACTGCGCTTTAACCGGTTACACCACTAGGGAGGCCCTGGTTGGTGATTTTTTTTATGTATTCAACAGTTTATTATTGGCAACCAGGCACTAATAGAGACTTAGGATTTTGCGGTGAAGAATTTCTAGCCCTGACCCTGGAGTTTATTACAGTCTAAGTAAAAATATATAAATGCATAATTATCATGGAAGTGCTCTACAAATAAGAATTGAGTGTGATGATAGAGTAAGTACAGCTCCCTATGGTAGCAAATATTGTATAAATATGGGAAGACAGCCAATTTAGTATAAAAGCAGTCTGGGTAGGCCTGTCTCAGGCAGTGCTGTTTAATTTGAAAATTTAAGGATGATTAGAAGCCAATGAAGCCAGGGAGTGATGGTAGAAAGAGCATTCCAGACATGAGTGTTGAATATATAGCCAGAGATCACATGGTACTTTGGGAAAACGGAAAGAATTTCACCAAAAAAAAAAAAAAGCATATAAAGCATAAAGAAGAGTAAAAGAGAATGGGAAAAGATGGAAGTGGAGAGGTAAACAATGTAAGTGTTTTTAAGGAATTGGGGAAGGGACTAGATCCCCAAAAGTGAGGCATTATTGTCTTAAAGCTAACTAAGTGCAAGGGTTTTAAGTAGGGTATACTGGTCAGAGTTTGCATTTTAGGAGCATCACTCTGCATGCAGTGTAAAGAACTGGCTTCAGGGAGGCTGGAGGCGTGTTGTGAGACCCCAGTGATGGGCAAGATGGACAGCAGAAGATTGGAAGAAGGGGATTCAGTGGTAGACCAAGATATGAGAGACTGGGGAAGCCAGAGAAGTTAAAGATAGCTCCCAGCTTTCTAACTTTAGCAAATTTGTGAGCTTATGAGTTTATTAGTGGTACTTGTCTTCATTTAACCAGAGGGAACATTAAGAGGTTGCATATCTAACCCCCAGGGCTGTTCAACTTGTAAGGCTTAGTTAGAAACTAAACTCAAATCCATTTCTGTCTTGAATTTTTGTTACTTATTTTCCCCCTTTTAAACAATTTAGAGAAGATTGTAAGCACAAACAATTAAGTTACTACTGTTTCATCTATACCCATTACCACTCCATATGCTAAGATTTGTGTCAGCAACTAAAAAAACTGCTTTAAGCTTAGCTATTTATTTTTGAGGTAACGATGACTTCATTTGTATACATTTTTATGTCTGTAAATACCTTTCAAAAACCTTTATAAAAATTAACATTTGTATTCATGTCTGAGTACAAAGCATAGTGTTTTAATTTTAGACAAAAAATGCAATTTTAATATTCTTTTGTGGCTTGTCAGTTACTAAGAAAACAAAACACTGCCATTCTTTATTTACAATAATGACAGGCAACTGTAGCATAATACTAAACTTCAGATTTAAGGGCTGTTAAATAATTACTGTGTGTACAAGAAATTACTAGAACGATATGAGAAAAATTATTTTTAAATGTTTGAAGACTTTTGGAATAACAAACTTTGAGTAGAAATGTTAGTATATAGCTACTTTGTAAAATGTAGCTATAGTCTTCAAAATTTAAGATGTGTGAAACTTTTGGTGTAATTCTGTGAGTGAATAGTTAAACTCATCTTCTTACAAGAAAAAGTTTTCTTCCCTTTTTCTTAAATTGTAATCCCGTTATTCTTCCCATTAGAATTCAGAATACTGGAAGTAAACTAGATTCAAATAGATGGTACCTATTCAAATACTCATATTCAAAGTAACACAATCATAATAACACATCTGTTTATAATTTTTATCCAATCAGTGTCTTTCTCCTTTAGATTCTGGAACAAGGTGGTCACATATTAATGAGTTCAGATGTCTCACTTATATCTTGATTTTGCTTAATATATGTTGGGATTACTGTAAAAAATAGCACATACAGGTGTTTCAGAATATAATCTGGAATTCTATCCCCCTATTGAAGAACATACTCTCTAATTTCCCTTTCTTCACTACTAGCTATATTCTTACATTTTATAAAATGTGTAATGATTCTATATTTGGAAATGTTTGCCCAAGCAATAAACCTGTGAGAAACAGGTAAAAAGCATTCAATAAGGTGACTTAGTAGTAATTCAGAAAGTGAGATTGCTCAGATAAATTCTAGTGCCAAAATTGTATTCAGTAATTTTTTTTCTTTATTTAAAAAAAAGTACAAAAAGATCCTATTCTGACTCTTTGACTGTAGAGGGCACTAGGCTGAAAAATTATAACAAAACCGGAGGGTTATTTTCTTATTTC